GGGGTCGGAGTCCAAAACTCCTGGAGGATGCCAGCTTGGGAAAGGTGGCCCTAGAGTCTGGGCGCAATTGCTTCCATATTAATTTAGCTTGCTCGGGGCAGACGTCTCCTTTTCTGGGGGATCATGGGTGTTGTTGGGAGGGCACTTGGCTGGGAAAGGGGGGGGTCAGAGCTTGGTCCATGCTCTGTGAACAGCAAATACTGCAAGACTTCTACACCTTAACAGGCAAAACCTGGTCAGTCAAGTGAAGGGAAAACTACTGCACATGCAAGTATAAACAGTTTAAAGAAGTGTTTTATAGTCACTCTAGCTTATGTCCTTTCCCAGATGTAAAGTTGTTGTGCCATCATCACAACAACCCTAGAAGCAGGCCAGCAAGCTGTCGCAACTGCACACTGAACAACTGAGGAACTAGCAGGGAACAAGTGATACGTGCAGGGCCCATAAGGACCAGCTCAAATGGGAAGAAAATGGTGCCTGTGTCGGCAACTCCTTCTTTAAACCAAGAAACATTAGGTTAATACAATGATGGGAAAACTTTGCAGCTGGTGAGATGGAATGGCTGAAATTGGCATATGCAAATGAGTCCGTGATAAGGGTCCAGTTTCACAAAGCTGGGCCATGGTCATCTGCGCTACCCGCGAGGATGGACAGTTGTGCGACACTTTCCCTTGACAGGTGATGTACCTTGTCCCCAGCAGAGTGAGAAGCAGGTGCGGAAAAGTGATTCTGAAAGAGAACGAGGTGTGTCCCCCATTTCTCCTGCTCTGTGTCTGCTTGTGTGCTTAAAAAGCAAGCAGGAGCCAACGGTTTGTGTAAGGAAGTACATTTAGTCTGAGATAGAGAATTTATATGCCGTCCTGTCGCAAAAGCCTCAGGACGGCTCACATAGATAAAATACAATAAAATATAACATAAAATTATCGACCCACACTGGCTGCAATAAAAACATATAGGTCATGATATTAAAACTTATCAAAATATTGCTGAAATAAAAAGGTCTTAACCTGGCGCAGAAAAACATATAACGACAGTGCCAGGCAGACCTCTCTGGGGAGTGCATTCCACAGTCGGGGTGCCACCGCAGAGAAGGCCCTCCTCCGGGTACTTTGCCTCCTGATGTCTTTCATGGAGGGTTCCCGGAGGAGGGCCTCTGCCGCCAATCTCAGGGGGCGGGAGGGCAAATACAAAAGAAGGCGTTCCTTTAGGTATCCTGGTCCCAAGCCATTAAGAGCTTTATAGGTAATGACCAACACCTTGAATTGAGCCCGGACTCAATGTAGAGACAATACTTATCTTAAAAAAGGGGGGGTGGGGTCCAGAACTTAAGCCGACAGGGTCACAACGCCCCTCACCTGCAGGTGCCTTGGAGGCAGGGCGAAGGGACAATGTGTGGCATTGCAATGTACTTATGGAAAACAGAAGTGGAGGAGGCGCAGGGAGGGCGTTAAAATGTGTTTGGCAGCCTCTGGACTGAGAAGCACGAAACAAAGTGAGTCAGAAGGGGCCTCCTGGGCCATCCAGTGTGACCCCTGGATCCAGCCCACTCTGCTCATGCAATTGGGTGTCCAATCTGTCCTTAACGGCCTCACTGATGACCCGCCCCCCACCTCCCATGGAAGCCCATTCCACATTCTAGGGGTCCTAACTGTCAGGAAGTACATCCTGACATCCAACTTGAAAACTGGATCCTCCACCCTAGTGCAGAACAGGTCACGAAACATTTCTGCGTGACACCCTTCACATACCTGCATGTCGCTGTAAGATCCCCTTGGAGTCTCCGCTCCTCCAAGCTGAAAAGTCGCAGGTCCCTCAATCTCACCTGATGCGGCATCCCCGCCTCGCCCCCCAATCTGGCCACCACCCTGGCGACCCTGCGCTGAACTGATTCCAACCTGGCTGTGTCCCTCCTGTAATGTGGCGCCCAGAATGGGGCACGGGGCTCCCGCTGTGGCACCAGCCCCTCTCTCGATCCAGAAGCCACACTTCTGGCTAGGCAGCCAAGGGTGGCGTTCGCCCTCTGAACCGCCGCGTCCCACTGCTGGCCCATGTTCCGCCTGCTGTCGACAGGAACCCCGAGAGGCCTTTCGCAAGTGCCGCCCTCCAGCCACCTGCCCCATCCTGGACCTACGGCACCCATTCCTGAGTCCCAAGGGCAAGACCTTGTGCTTACCCACACCGGGCGCCATCTTGCTGCCCCCCGCCCACTTCCACAGACCGTCCAGGTCCTTTGCACCTGGAGTACCTGCTCCCCAGCTGTGGCCACTGCCCCCACTTTGGTCTCTTCTGCAAATCTGGTCAGCAGGCTGGTTGCCCTCTCCTCCAGGTCACTGATAAACTGGGTGAACAGAATCGGTCCCAGAACTGAGCCCTGTGGGACTCCACTCATTGCTAGCTGCCATCCTGTTGGAGACATGTTGGAATACAGCTTCTGTCATCCCCAGTCACTGGATCGCCTTCCTCCTTATTTAGTGGTCCCACCACTTGTCTCCCCTTCCTCTTCCTATTTACTTGCTGAAAGAAGCCCTTTTTGTTGCTCTTGATATCCTTGGCAAGTCTCAGCTCGTAATCAGCCTTAGCCTTGCGAAGAATCCTTCTGTAATGGGCCTCCTCCTCCCGGTATACCCTTTTGTCTATTTGCCCCAATACCCATTTCCTAGGGAGGTTCCTCTTTCATCTAATCCCTCTAACCACCACCTTTCGCATCCATGGCGGCACTCTCCTCCGCCTCCCCACCTTGCTGACTAGAGGTATCGTCAAGACTTGCCCCTCCAAAACCTCCCTTTTGAGTGCCATCCACCCCTCCTCAACTCGCTTGCCTCCCAGTAACCTGTCCCAGGAGACTTTCCCCAGTCTGGCCTTCAGTTGGCCAAAGTTGGCCCTCTGGAAGTCCCAGCTTCTAGTGCTCGACCTGCTGCACGTCCCCAGTCCCGATCTCAAAGCAAAGGATGGAGTGATCGCTCACGCCCAGAGCTCCCCTGATCTGCACCCCATCTATCAGCTCCTCCCTGTTGGTCAAGACCAAGTCAAGGATGTTTGCCCCCCTTGCTGCCGCTCGGACCCTCTGCGTGAGAAACTCTCCCCACGTGCCCTGTTGCTGACTCCTTTCTCTTCTTCTCTTTCTCCCAAGTTATCACGAAGGCAAAAAGGGTGGGTGGAGGCAGGTGGCAGTCTCCTCGCCGCGCCTGCTTCCGGGCAGCGTGGCCTGGGACCCAGCATGGCAGGGATGCAGAATGCCTGCCCTGCGCAAGTAGCTGGGCTGCCATTCCCATTACTGCAGCAAACTCCAGAAGCTTGGAAGCTGCCATTCACGGACTCAGAGCCTTGGTTCATCCGGTCCAGCAATGCCAACACGGGCTGGCAGCAAGCGTTCTCCAAAATTTCAGGCAGGAGTTTTCTGAGCCTGACCTGGAGCTGCAAGGAGTTCAAGGTGGATTTGATTTAAATCATGATTTAAATCACTAGCCAGTAAGACTAGGTTTAAATCATGGTTTTCTACATTATTTGCTTGCATGCTTGCCTTACCTGTAGGCAGAGGAACGTTACTGAAATTTTCCCAAACTAGGCACCTTTTCCAGGCTGCTGCCATTGTAGGTTTTCTCCTCCAGGGAAATTAGAATACAACAAATCTCAGGCAATGCACAAAAGACCCAAAGACGCGCGGCGTATTCTGCTCAAAGGTTTCCCTCCCGTGTTTGCAGCTTGCCCCTCCGTCCTCGCACTTAGCTTCTCCTGCAGATCCATTCCGCTCCCAACAATCTTCTTCTATTCATTGCATTTTCTGAACTTAACACTGAAGAGGGAAGGGGTCGATTCTGTGCACAGGGGAGATTTGCAAAGGAACAATGAGTTTAAGGTCTTTCGCTCAACTCCGTATGTTTATTTTATAACATTCTTGCTGTGAAGAAGAGTCATGTGATCCCTGTAGACACAAATCCAGTTTTGAGAATGTAAAACCAAGCATCTGTGGTGATATCTATTAGACAGAAAAACTGCCCAATAATCTTATAGAAACCTCTGAAAGAAGATGACATTGTGAATGGATTAATGGGAATTCATTTAGCAAAAAAATTGAACATTGCTTGAATATACAGCCTCATGCTACACAATTAAAAACTAATGCTTATTTCATGATGAATAACCTTTGGACTGCAATGTATCTCAAATTGCCTTTAGATAGTTCTGCCCCCAAAAAGCATTTGATAAAAAAACAATTTAAATAAAAATCCAATTTAAATTTAAACAATCCATTGTGTTTGTTTTTTTAAATCATTGTTTTTTATCCACCCTGGAGGAGCTGCACTGGGAATCTTTGACATGCAGAACAAGTGTTTTTCTGCTGAGCTACTGTCCTCCTCATCAGGAAAGAGCAAGATTCTAGCCCTCATGGTTCTGAATAAAAGGCTGGTTGAAATTATCACATCAGAAGATAGCTTTATCGATCAAGGTATAAAAGGAGGGGAAGGGAGCCAAAGCCCAAGTGAACAGCAGGAAGGGATCAGGACCCTCTCCAGGTGTTTTGGCCCAGGGCTCTTCCTCTCAGGCGGCTGATGGGAGTGGGAAGTCAAACACCGGCAGCAGGCTGCAAGTTGCCGCCTCTGCCCCGCACAGAACTCCTCGGCTGCTTACCCAAGCTCTCGAGCAGCAAACCTTGCTGCGGGTGGGTCTCCTCGGGGGCCGCAGGTTGCCCACCTGGCGCAGGGGCTTTGGAGGCCGCGGGCGACCCGCGGGGACCCCCGCGGTTCCAAGCAGCTCGGCGGGCTCCCGCGCGCCCGATCTCTTTCCACCGCCCGTCGCAAGAGGCGCGCCCGAAGCGGGGGAAGCGACGGCCCGCCCCCGGCCGG